AAGCTTCCACTCCTCTGCATTACGGGCTTTTGCCCTATCTGCACTCGTGGCCACCCTTTCTTCTGAGTGTACTGGTGGGATGGTTATTGGTTGTTTATCCATGGGTTGTGGTACCACAGGAGACTGCACCTGGAACCAGTTGCCTGTCTCCTTCTCAGCCTCCCTGATACTCCACAGCCTTCTCACTGCCTCCTGCAGCTCAGCCACCTGCCGCAGGAGCTCCTCCACCTGGGCACACCTTGTGCAGGCAGGGCTGCCCCTGTCCCAACAGGGGAAAGGTCCTGGCACCCCCTGCAACCCAAGGTCTGCACCACAGCCTCTGCCTTCCTCCACTCCGTCTGGGTGGACGCATCAGTCACCGCAGGGTTAGATGGCAAAGACCCCCAGCCGGAGCTGCAGCCTTTGCAGCCCTCGCTCAAAGTCGAGTACTTACCATTCTGCCTGGAAGGTAGGTAGGATGTCCCTACTACAGCTGGTCCTCAGCTCTGCCCTCCTTCTCAGAGGTGCCCTACGGGCTCGCCTTCCCGCCCTCCTCATGCGTTATGGGCAGCGAGTCTACTGGCGAATTTTAGGACGAATGGAGGGGGTGCGGCAATGCCCACGCCACGTCAGCCTCTCGTGGGAAAGCTGGTGGCAGGAGAGCTGGCGGTGGGAGTCGGCTTACGCCCCTTTCCCAAGGTTTCCCTCTGAAAGGAAACTCCCGAAAACCCCCTGTACCTTGAGATCTGTTGGTCCGGTGCTGTCTGAGCCGGCTCCAATTTTATTTAATTCTGTTTGAGGTAATTCTTCCTGAATTAGTAAGATGTACAGACAATACAAATACATGTACCCACAGATTCACACATGAGGATAAACAATGGGATTGCCATCACAACTAAAACTAAACTCAATATAGATTGAAGACAAAGTATATTAATGCATCACTCCAGGTCCAGCTGTTCACTCTTGCCCAGTCCTCTTGAATCTATGAATGTCACCAGAAGCACACGGTTAAGAGAAGACTGTCAGACATCAAGATAACAGCCTTTACTAAAAGACTGTGAAACTAGATATGAAGTTGAAAACAGATATATTGTTTTATGCAACATATGAAATGTTATTGAAAAATGCTGCTGTTTTTAGGGGGTGAGGTTTTGTTCTGTTTCCCATCACTTTGGAGGTAAACATCATACACACCTTTTCAAGACCTTCTTCCTTGAGGCTGATAACATCTAAATCAAAATCTGTCCGTAAACCATTGGTTTTGTTGAAAGTTATCCTGCCTGTGAGGCCTTCCCAGTGGGCCTATGGAGAAAGAAAAAACAAGTTCTATAAATAATAACAAGTTCTATAAACAAGTTCCTCTTCCTTTTTTTGCCCAAGAAGAATAAATTTTACTTCTGCCAAAATGGGACCATTAATTTTTCATTTTATTTAAATAATTTACTTTGTGGCTGATTTTTTTTAAATTATTTTGCATTCACTCTTTGCTAATTAAATCAACCTTTCTTCAGTCTTCACAATTTTTTAAACAATTTCCATGTTAGCAAATAGACTCTTCTTGCTATATGAGATAAAAAGCCGTTTTGGTTTTTTTCCTCCATCATTCATACATGCATTTCCCCTTCTGCTTCCCTACATTGTCCGACCGCCTCCCCCCACTCTGCCCCCAGCCTCAACCTCTTTCATTAATGTTGGATTTCATTTTTCTGTCAGGAAATTTCATTCAGACAAAGGCTTACTTTTGCAAGATGCTGAGTCCCCTGAAACCACACTGAGACAGCAAAAATTGAGGTCACTTAGCCAGTCTTCCAGAGCTGATTCCTTATTTTCAATAAAGTGTATTATCCTCATTTTTTTGTAACCTAAAGTCTACCTAGTTCTAAAACTATACTAAAGTAGAGGAAGGAATGTGGAAAAAAAAATTGTCATCCTAAAAGGAACCAGTATTGGAAACAGAATTATATTCCATTGCAAATAGTTCTCTTTTTCATAGTATTTTGCATATCTAGAATGAAAAATACTGTAATAGGAGTTACTCAGTACAAGAGACTTGAATACTCTACAGTTATCACCTTTAGCACCTTACATCTCCCAGCTTTACTTTAAATCACTATCTATCAGTATTTAAATAGCATACTAAAAGGCCAAGGACACATATATTAATTCACCAGAGGAAAAAAAAAAAATTAAAATCAGTGAGTAAACTTCATCTTTGGCCCCTTTAAACTTATGCCAATATTTAGTTGCTGAATTTTCCATAGTCAGTTTATGTTTTAGGGTTTCAGGTGTCTGGGTTTTTATGTGACAAATGTTCCACCTGCCCCCTCCACCCCACCCTCAATTATCTACAAATAAAAAATGTATTTAGAATGCAGTTACTTCACCCTTTTAAGTTCTTTGTTCCAACTAATAACTTGGGAAAACCAGCTTTCAAATTAAAGTGTTGTCTTGCCTGCTAAGCTCTTCACACACAACAATCTGAGAAATTCCCATCTACCAAAAAAAAAAGGCAGAATTCAAGTAGTGTGGGAACAAAAGAAAATGGGAGTTGGGACAGAGGAAAGTAATGAAGCAGGATACTTTATTAGTGGCTTACCTCCTTAATGAGACTCATAAAGCGGGTCCCAAAGCGCCACGGTTTGTGGCGATTACACTGTAGTGAACTGACAGTCATCTGTGGGAACTGCTGGACAGCCACTGACACCACGTGAACTGCATCATACATTAACGCTGCATCCGTCTGAAATTAGAATGAAATCAGAACCATGAATACAAAACAAAAAACATGTGGCAGCCCAGCAGTGAGAGAAGCAAACAAAAAATTAGCAGTACTTATTATGTTAAAGTGAGAGAACTGTCTGACTGCTTGTGTAGCAATGTAAAATGCAGCCTTGTTGCCAAGTCATACATATGATGTGTTGGGACCTTCAGTCTCGGCTTTTCTCTTTTTAATGCTGAAAAAAAGGCCCAAATACCAACTTTTCAGGATCACAAGGGAACACTGGTATCTCTGATGACTCGTGTTACTTTTAAAAAGCACTATATAAATCACTGTATGAGTGTTGATTCACACCAGTTATTTCCATGAGTGAGGCAAAAGAAAAGAAAAAAAAAAAAAAAATTAGCAAGGTAGCAAAACCTTACCTATAAAGGAAAGTGCACAGTCTAAGGAAATAATGTTTTTCTATTTTGAAATTATAGACTAGGTACAGTCCCAAAGCTAATCAACTGATTCATTAATAACTTTATATGGGTATCAGTTTAAATCCCTGGGACAGATCTAACTATTATCTTCTATAAATCAGAGACAAATTAAAAATGCTTAAAAAAGACATTCATTTTAATGGTCTTCCTGTCCCACCCTAAATAAATAGGCTGTTTAGACCTGATAGGTGCTAACTAATGCTGTGTTAGCAAAGGACAGAGACAGCCTCTCAGTACACACTGTCATGCTGTACAAGAAACCGACATCTCTCTCCTGTTCTGTTTGATAAACAGAGGCAAGCCTTGGAACCAAAAACAAGAGGGGACCTTAGATTCAGCTCATGGAAATGAATGCTATGCCATCTGCTCAGCATACCTTAGAGAATAAGGACCTATTTTCACTTCTCATTCACATAATTAGTGAGCTGTGAAATTAGTTCTTTAATGGATAGGAAACCTGGAGATTATTGCACTTGTCACAATGCAATGCAATGCAATACAAAATGAGCTTATATAATGCCTGTCATGCAAATGCATCCCCAGGCTCTTTACAATAAAACTAAACATAAAAATGCAAAAATCCTCTACCATTATAGCCCATAAGCTACTGTTAAAGGGGAAAATATACGTTTACATTTAAATGGCTCTCCTAAGGAGAGATTTCAAAATTTAAACAGAAATAAATCCTAATTTTAAAATAGCCAGTATAATAGGTTTCAATGATCTCAGATGCCAAGTAGTTCATGCAGGGGCTCCAAATCAGTCAGAAAATATTTTTGCTGCCAAATTGTTCATTATCTTCAAGGCATTAAAGTGCTTTTAAGGTAAGATGATATTTGACAAGGAGGCAGCAAAACACCAAAAAGTTGAAATGACATGCTGCGTAAACATCATATGAAGCTTAGTATTCTAGAAGCAGTACTTGGTAGTAGTTGGAGTCTAGACAACAGTTTTTAAAATAAACTATACAATAACTACAACACATTAATCTGTCTCAGACATGTAACCTTTTTTTTTTTTAATCAGCTTTACCTCTAAAACTGTGGTCCTTGCACCAATGAAGGAAAATTTAAATTGCTATGAGACTTTAGCAAAATCAACCCATTAAGAAGAAAACAGGAGTTCAAAAACAGCATTAACTGATTAGATATAAATTTGGACACAGAACTAACAAGACTCATCAGCAGGA